CTCAAATGTCCTTCCTTGTTCTTAGCAATAGTGGAACTGTCGAATTTGTTAATGTAGAGATTGGTTGGCAATAGATTGCGCCTACGTTCTAAATCTGAAACATATCTGATATCTGGTCATTTGACTCATTTAAAAACACATACACTTGATTTTACAGTTAATTCTTGAGTAGCTATAATTGCTACGTAATGACAGGCTCTGCCAAGATGTATTATTCGGTGCTCAGATGATAAAGGTGGAGGATGGAATGCAGTCCGTCGAGTGTAGATGAAATAATGCAATCAACCAACCATTTAATGAAGATGATCCTCGCCTCTGCTTTCAGTATGGGTGTTTGCAGTGGCACATTTCTGAGAACATGCCATAATCTAAAGAACATTACCTCTTACCTATAGCCACTCCCTTTGAGTTATGAAAGTATGCACTTCTACCATCATCTTTCTTGTTTGTTCTTCAAAGCTACATATGCAATTAGTTAGTTTTGTTAAGTGTGTGATGGTACCTGCATGTTTTACATACTGTATTGGTTAATAATTTCGGAATGTTTTCACAGTGATTGGTGGCATAAATAATAATAATAATAATAATAATAATAATAATAATAATAATAATAATAATAATAATAATGTGTGTAAATGTTTTTGTAGGCCAATTCCGACCACATTTTCACTCATTTCGTTGACACTAAGGTATGTTAAGACATGACCCAGTAGGTTTGCGGTGATTTAAATGTAGCCACACCTATAAATCAACATGAAAATGTAAAGCTCACAGAGAGCCGAAAAGGACAAAATGATGACTAAGCAGTGAATGAGCGCCTCCAGAGCACGGTGTGTGCCAAGTCTTCCAGTAATGCAGCTCAGCCAATGTAGCACGTCCAGCAAAATCGCTTGCATTAGTTCAGAAGAAAAGTGGTTCAGGAGGAAGTAAGGAATAATGCTAAAGATACAAATACAAATACAACAGTTCTAAATGTTTGAATACTTTTCAGTCCTTGTGTCATGTATAAATGACATTATTATTCAAACTTCATAATCCTGGTCATTGTTTGGTATTTTCTATGATACAAATGCTGAAAATAAAACCTGCCTTTCACACGGTTTTAAGGCTTTTTTTTCCAAATATTCCCTGTTTTACCGGACATGGGGGGGGGGGGTGGGGAAAGATTTAAAATAACAAAGGGGGGGGGGGGGGGGGGAAGAAATGTGGGGGGTTTTTTAAAAAAAAACCACAGCAAATGACTTATTTGCTTGTGTGTCTTTGTTTTCTTTCACTTGAGTAAGCATGCACCCTGTCTGCACTTTACTGCCCTGTTGCCTCTTCAATTGCCAAGCACTCACTGGACCATAGTATTTACATTTACGACATTTGGAAGATGTCCTTATCCAGAGCGACTTACATTTATCTCATTTATACAACTGAGCAATTGAGAGTTAAAGGCCTTACCCAACAGTAGTGGCTTAGCTGGGGCTTAAACTCCAGACCTTCTAATAAGTTTAACCACTGAGCCTCCGCTGAGCCACCGGTGAGCCTCCGCTGAGTCACCACTGCCCCAGTAACACCACTAACCAAAAAAAGGATCAAATAATATTGATATTTTCAATGTAATGTTCAGTTATAAATTGTATTTGATCAATTTTCAAATCAAAATGATGTCATTATGAAACCCTTCCAAACAACTTGGTTGGTCATCTATTGCTTCAATGGCAGTGGCTGATTCCAAAAATATTGCTTTTAACAGATTTTAATACTAGACTTTTTTTTGTGTCTGATTTGGACCACTTCTGTAGAGAAAGAATAAGAGCAACCAAGTAAAAACCTATTCGCCCAAGTATGTTTTTTAGTTTAAGTCATGATGCTTAGAGAGATTGGAATGGCAACTGGTGTGGTCCAATCTGATTTAAAGCTAAGCTCAGAGGATGTCCCTGTTCTAGTCATGTGAGATATAATGAAATGTTTTGCATAAGAAATGTATGTATAAGACACACACAGTGACTGAAGGCTCAGACAAGGAGAGACCCTTCTTCTGTCTCCATCATATTACATTTGGCTATTTCTACTATTCAGTAAGTGTACAGTATATAATTTAACAAACTTTGTATGGTTAAGTTTGTGTGGCTTTAGATTCATTTTAACTCATTTTAATTTTAACATTTTAAGTGCTTAGTAACTGAAGGCGATTATCTTTGTGTTCATATTATTTGATATCGTTGGTTTTCTTTATTTCCACATTCTAGCTGAATGTTATTGTTGATATGTTTTTATCTTTTTGAGTTTTTTCTGATTGACGTTAAGAGAGGGTTAATTTTGTCAACAGTCTAGTTTTAGTCTTTTGTCAAAAAGGTGTTTGAATAGTTCCATTGTTATTGGATTTAGTTTTAATTGATCACAAAAGTACATCAGCTTTACTCACTAAAACGTCATTCGCTGAAAACCTTGTTAATGCTAATCACAATATACAGTATAAATAAATTCAGTCTTTTATTCGCCAGTACGTATAATGTTTAGGTTCGGTCTGTTCTGTTTTTGTTTTCCACTGCTTAACATTAGCACTGGATTTGAGTTTTCACACTCAGAAGTAGGACCAAAGTGTGTGCATACAGACATTCTCATTAAGGGAAACAACGCCGGAAACTGAGCTATCCGTACATTTCTTGTACATTTATTAATCAAATTTTGAAAAATTACAAAGATCACTGTAAGGCAAACTCAGAGCAAGACTTTGTGTCGAGTGTGTGTGAGTCTGGGCTATTTATTGGTGTGTGGTTGGTTTGGTCCAGGTGTGTGTAAACATTAGTCAGATGAACATGAATGTGACACGACAACAGCATATACATTTGATAAATGATAAAAGTGGGATGACTTCAGTCACGCTAGTTGTAGCTAGTATTATATTAGCCCCAGCTGGAGACCAGAGAACAAAAGGTCATTGAGGGGAAAAAAATGATTAACAATGTTAACACTATTTTAAGAGTGATTATTGCAGTACTCAAGAAAGCTCATAACCAAATGTTATGTTGCAAAATCTGCTTGCAGTGTTCCTGAATTCTACATCAGTTATGAAGAGTCTGTACTTACTCCTTTTTCTCACAGGTAAAGGAAATGTTTGTGTGTGTGTAAAAGGTTCATTAACTGCAACGTCTGAATTGCAAACTCAGGCCATCTACTGTATCTAGAGACAGAAATATATACAGTATGAAGCCTCATAGAAAACCATGTATAAGAATACTACTGACAATATTTAGATGAAGCTTTTATCCAAGCAGGTTTACAATTCAGACAGGATGCATCTGGAAAGTTGAGGATTAATGAGCTTGCTCAGGGGCAGTTTAGTGATGCTGAACGGTGAACTCACGGCCTTCTGATCAGTAGGCTTATCCACTGAGCTACCATTGCCCTGACATCACCATAGGTAGAGAGTTGCAGTTGTAGGGTTTTTTTTTCAGACACTAGACATCCACTTAATGGCCAAAAGTTTGTGCAAGCCTGAACATTACACTCATATGTGCTTGCTGATTTCGTCCTTTTGGCAATATAGTGTATTTATTAGACGAGCAAAAGAAATATACGGGAGAAAATCATTTACACTGAAAATAGAGAGAGAGAGTTCTTCAGAGGAAAGCCATTCCACATACCTAACACTGAATAAAACCTTTAAAACTCTCCTCCACAGGTTCTTTCCCCCTTGTCCTGTCTGTCTCTCTTAAATACTATCTTATCCAGCAGGGGAGAAATTGGAAGGATGCTCAGGTTTACTGCCAGGCCACATACACCGACCTGGCTATCGTTGAAGATAATGACGACGTGATCAAACTTCAGAGTGAATCTCAGAAACAACAACTGAATTCCAGTGCTTGGATTGGACTATACAATGACATCGACAGCTGGCGTTGGTCCTTTGGAAATGAGCCACTAGGAAGCATGAGAAAATGGGGGGGTGCAGAGCCAAACAACAATGGTGGACATCAAGAGTGTGTTGCGATAATTCAAGGGGGTTGGACTGATAGGCAGTGTACATTACAATATCCCTTTGTGTGCATTGATGGTGAGGAACAGTACATGGTTTGCATTGTTATTTTAGCAGTTTTTTGAGGCGTGTCTCAGTGATGTGAGAACTTGCGCGTATTGCACTTGCATGATATCGGCTTGAGCAAAGAACAACAAATATCCAGGGCATTAATCTTTTAATAATATCATCTATTTTATCCATTTAAAATCCACAGACGTTTTTTTGTTTTCCACACATAAGCCGTCGGAGGAGATGCGTCTCCTCGCAAAACTCGGATAGGGCGCCAATGACCAAACTTATACACTGCCGTTAATTTATTCCTTTGTCCCATCAAAGTAGCGAGTTAAAGTATTGATTCATTTTTATGATCTTCATTTAAAAATGAAATACAAATAAATAGGATGTGCTGGATCAGTTGCTATTTAATAAGCTGTTGAAGAACGAGGGTGGAAGCTGTATCGTTAAATTAAACCAAATTTGCAGCGATTATTGTGATAAGTACAACTAATAATAATTATTAGATTTATTTCAGTGTATGCCATCTTCACATACATAGTGTGTAACATCATATTAACCTTTTATGGTTTTATTCTTAAGTTGTCTCTTGATTTTATGTGACATCATATTACATTTGACACCGAAGGAAATAAAAAAACAACTCTGTTAGATTTCACCCCCATAGGAATCTACTGTGTACGCCTTTTGAGAAATGTGAATTACAGGCAACAAATTTGGCAAATCTGAATGATGAGCCAAGAGAATCCACTTAAGTGGGTGCTTAGTCCATATTTAATAAAAGCATCTTCACAGCATAAATATGGATGTAACTTTTGGGCTTACTTTGCCTCTGAACTCTGAATATGGCTCATTAAACTTAAATGTAATCTAAAGTGGCAGATTTTACAGCATATTTACATTAAAGGGGACAACCGAAAAAAAAAAACGATCTTTATGAACTTTGACATTCAGCGCAACTAGCACGTTGACTCTGGGCAGTGGTAGCTCGGTGGTTAAGGTGTTGGACCGCTGCTCAGAAGATCATTAGTTCAAACCCCAGCACTGCCAAACTACCACTGTTGTGCCCTTGAGCGAGGTCCTTAACCCTCAACTGCTCAGATGTATAAATGTAAGTCACTCTGGATCAGATCGTCAGGTAAATGTAATATTGGTGTTTTAAGTTTTAGCAATATCCATTAACCTGTTTGCCTTTCTCGTGTATGAGACAATACATTTAACTTTTAATTAACTTAAGTGTGGTTATTATGTGTTTTAAATTTCCACAGACAGTAGTGAATCTGAGAGGTACATTAACATCTCTACTAAGATGACATGGCTTGAAGCTCAGAGTTACTGTAGAAAGCATCACACGGACCTGGCCAGCATAACAAATGCAGAAGAATACTCAATTATAAAGGGAGTTTTCCCTAACGAAACTTGGATTGGTCTGTTCAGAGACTCCTGGAAGTGGATAGATAAAACCAACTTCTCTACCATCAAGTGGATGAAAACCAAACCTGATAACAAACTGTGGAATGAAAATTGTGGTTATATAAATAACAGTCAGGCTGGTGATGCACAGTGCTCAGACATAATGCCTTTCTTCTGCTACGCAAGTGAGTTCAAGTTTGATTTAGTCTCATATTTATATAGATTTAAACGTCTGTTATACGGCAAGTTGAAGCGCTTGTTCATGTTTGTGCTCATATGTGTCTTTGCATTTCTACATCTAGGAATCACAGGACAAAAGCAACTTGTAAAGGTGAAGATGCAAACTAATCAGGATGTAAAGGATCCTGAAGTTAAGACGGCCATCTTGGATCAGGTGTGTCTCATCCTCAACAAGCCCTCACTTATAATTCCCCTTCTCGTTACCGCAGCCGTCAAGCTCCTGAGTCCTTGTCAAGCTCCGACACACACACAGGAGCTTAGAGTCTCTACCCTGCATTATTTAGCAATAAAAGACTTATTCTGTTCCTCAGATCAAGCAGAAGCTGAAGGATCATGGAATGGCAGAGAACATCACAGTGAAATGGAGAGCGCAACCAGATGGAACGGTGTTTCATAAAGAGAACAGAAATAAAATTAGGGCAGGGAAGTGCGACATTTAACATTTATTCGTTTAGCGGACACTTTTATCCACAGCGACTTACAAACACAAGCAAAGCGGTATATCAAGCGGAGAACAATACAAGTAGTGCTACAGTACACGATTTATAATTGTGTGCGCAGAGTAGAGGTGGAAGAGTCATTCTATTTATTTATTTATTTTTTAATAATGTGGGAGGTGGCTTTTTAGGGGTTAGTTAAGAGCCGTTTTGTAAACCCATAAGTCTTTATTATTTCATTCTTTTCCTGAGATTCTGAATAATTGCAGACTGCCTAAGTTCCAAGCTGATAACTGAATAGCATTAGAATAGGTCTATGATGGGTAATCTCCTCCTAGACATATAGGAGGTGAACTACATCGTTATACACAGTGGTTGTACCTGTTTACATACTGCAACGTTATAAAAAATCAAATCTGAACCATTCAGGTCTTTACACATCATGAGCAGGACTTTGTAGTCCTGCTCAAAATTAAACGACTGTCAATGTAACTTCAATATGATACAACTGGAGTAGCTTTAGCTCTGACTTTCTTTTCCTGGCTGCTGCATTCTGAACAGACACGCAGAGGAGTAGAAGTAGAAAGAGAAAAACCCCACATTTCACTGCAAGGTCCGTCAGACAGCTGGTTATTTCTACCACTACTAGATAAATGCTAAATCTATAAGGGAAATGTAATTATATATCATTAGCACAATGTCAGTGCACTGAGGGGGAAACACACAATGCATACTAACCATACTTATTTATCTTTCATTCATTCATTCATTCATTGAATTATTTTAAATTGAGTCACTCGTTGCCGAGCCATTTCCCACAGTGATGGTCATAAAAATACCAACAAAAAAACAACAACACACATTTCCACACTGATATATGCAAATGCCTTGATTTTATGCCTTGTTTCTCTGGTTGATCAGTGAGATTCATGTGGACATTTGTGTAGATTATTTGTATTATTAGCATTATTTCACATTAGTTGTACTTCCATTTATGCTAGCGTTATCCTGCATGCAAAACCTTAGCTATCGTTCATTTTAAACAACTGTTTAGCAAATATATACACGGGATACAGTATGACTAAAATAACCAAAAAAAAAAACATTCATAATCTTTAACTATGCTTTGCTTTGAGTGTTGTCTGCATATAGTCTTGTAAGTGTGTGTGTGTGTGTGTGTGTGTGTGTGTGTGTGTGTGTACATATATATATATATATATACTGTGTAAGTTTTATTAAAAAAACCTGTATGATTTATGTTTATATGGTTTAGTAACCTAAATAAGTAAAAAATAAACTATTTACTCTGTGGTCTTTTTTACTGTGTCATTGTGTGTATAGTTTGTGACAACTGTCTGATTTCCTTCAGTTCCAACCAGTGTATGTACACAAATAGAATTTTTATCTAAAAAAACAAAAACACACATTATAGGTGAATAATCCATACATAGTGCTGTTTTCTTATGTTTTTGTGAATATCGCATACTAAATATTCTTAGATCATCTACAAGATGAACTACAACATAAAACAAAGGCAACCATTTATTTATTTTGTGAACAATGATTCTTGTGGAAAAAGTGCAGCAATAACTGCAACCGAACGTTTCAGATAAATGGAGATCAGTCTTTCACTTACTTCTAGGAGTTTCCGAAACAAAATTTAGGTGCCAGCTAACGTGTCCAGGAATAATAAAGTTTACTGGGGAAACGGGAATAAAATCTGGCCTCGTCTCATTTCAGTGTTTATTTAGCACTGTATAGTATATGAGTAGTGTACGACACTGCATAGTATATGTGGTCGAGTGTCAGCTGTGTGAGTCTATTATAGATTCGGCCAAGAGGGCACTTATATAGTCTGGGCATAATGGCAGGATCTCCAGCCCGTCGCCTTCACGCCCCACTATTTCTGTCCATGGTTCTGACCAGGTGTCTTTATCAACATTCCTTTTCACTGTGTGTCCAAACACTGGGCTTTTACACTCAGAAAAAAAAAATATATTTCTTCAAGTGTTCTGTGAAAAATGAAGGGTATTTCCTCACCTGCTTTCAGTTCAAAAGCCCACAGAGAGAAAACTGATGACATTTGCTAGAATGTAGTATATGTTGAGGTATCCTTGTGAATACGACAGGTATGAAATTACAAGCCAGTGTGCTTTCGTTTCTCTCATGAGAGCAATGAATTAAGCCTGGACCCGATCCGATGGGTCAAATGAGTGCTTAGAGGGCCTTCAGGTCAAATTGACCAACCCAGTACAGGAGGATCGACAGTGAATCGTATCTAAACAGAATTTGTTAGCCAAATGAAGCATTTGCTCTGGTGTTTTGAGTAAATGCTACGCATGGACACCTCTCTGCGGTGCAGCATGTCTCAGAACACATGCAAGATTTTAGAAATCTTTTTAGAAAATCAGATATCGTGATATAAGCAAATAATGGCGTAGTGTGTAATATTGTGATTACAATATACTCTTATACACTGCAGAATGTTTTCTGTGCAGTAAGCTAGTCAGGACTTTGGAGGGACATCTCGCATTCAAATAACATTTGTAGAGGAAAATGGATCTGAAAAATTAATCAAACATTATATATTACATCTGTATATTATATGTTAACATTATAGTTTTTTAATCCCCATTCATAGGAGCTATAATGAAATAGCAGTTCTAAAAATCTTTAGAAAATACTAATGGCTTTTCATTCATCGAAAGCTCCCCGGCCCATTTTCTTCAGATCCTTGGCTCTGGTCGGATCTTGCCTGTATGAAACTCAAAGTTAAATGCAATGCCCTTGGAGTCACAAAGCATGTACACCTTATAAGGCCACTTATGGGGCTTGCATTACTTGTACAATTTCAGGCAACTCTTTACTTTGTAAGGAATAATTTGCTGATCTACACTGAGATGTTCATCCATTGGAATGCTGTCAAGAAGAGCAGAATTGAGCAAGGGCCTCAACTTGAACAGATCTCTCCATGGGTCTGCAGGGCTGAGGTCTAGACTGTTGTCATGGAAGTGAAGGTTGGCTTTTCTCCAAGATAAGATTTTCTCCTATCTACTCATAGGTTCAATTGTTCAACAATGTGCTGAAGACACTCTGCCTGAAATATTCCTTTGAGGTGAGCGCCTCAACTGGGGCAGGATTGTAGACACAAGCAGGAGTCCTCCGTAGCAACCTACAACTTTCTGTCCCTGTCTGAACTTCAATTTCATCCATACACTCTTCACATTCATCACTGTACATCTGATCCTGTCCCATCATCACGTTTAATATAACCTCATCGTCTGAGCTGCTCCAAAAAAATGAAATGAAATTGTTTCTGAGCTGCAGGAAGTAATTTGCTTTGGTACTTTGTTTAAGCACTTTGCATGGATGCCTCACTGCACATGTTTTCTGCATTTGTAAAATATAACATTTGAACTAACCGCAAAAATGTGAAGTTAAGTTCTCTAATGAAGGATTGGTTTTGCCTGAAAACTAAGTTTTGAACATTATCAATAAAACAATAATCATGGTGGGTAAAGTAGGCACGTCTAAAGACTTGTCAAAGTTCTGAGAGAGCGTTTGGGGGAGCATGGTTCTTAGGGGCAACAAGGGGGATAGAAGTCTGGAAGTTTGAAGCAGGGGAGCCCCACAGAAAGCAGCTTTAACACTCAAAGGCCTGCTGGAATTGCTCTGACCACTGGGTCAGGTCCGGCATGGCATTTTAAAGAGATCATTGAACACACTGCTGAAGTCTGAATAATTAGGATTAATATCCAGCAAATCCAGTCCAATCTAATCCAATCCAATTAAATGAATATAATTTTTTTTAAAAATCAAACATTTTTAAATCAGCAGATATGTGTACATACTCCCATGAATACACATCACCTCCACCTCCCAGCACCTTCACAACTTCTCTTGAATCCAGCTTTGGTAGATTAGGGTCTGCATACAGCCTACGTCCCGCAAAGCCTGAAA